GCTCCTAGGGAATGCCCATGCTGCTGGTCCAGGGGCCACACTTTGAAAGGCATAGGCCCACCTAGATCACTGGTTCTCAACCTTGGCTACAGAAGAGAATCTCTGGGGTGCGGGGTGGGGGGTGGGGGGGGGAAGCATTTTTTAAATACTGATGCCTAAGCCCTTCCCCAAACCAATTAAACTGGATTATCTGGAGCCCAGGGATCAGTATTTTTAAACTGATCTCCAGGTGATTCTAATCCATGGCGAAATTTGTGATCAAATGCCCTAGACATAGATATTTTACAGCTGGAAGAGATCATGTAGCACAAACCCGTAAGACTCCTGGGAATTTACAACTACTTTAGCTACCACTGGTCCACATGTCCTAACCTCAATTACCACTGTTCTTCACAGTCATTATTACTATGCATTAATAATGTGATCAATTTAGGGTGACCAAATTGTTTTCCCAGTTTGCCTAGGATGCTCCTGGTTTTAACACTGAAAGTCTCAGGTTCAGAACAGATTAGGACCGTTGGTCACTGTGCTAATGTCTTACAGCTCACAGACTGAACTATTAGATTTTGCTTCTAATATCCAGCATCCAGATCCTGGTTTCTAAATACCATTCTCCACTGAAAGGATCCAGGGCTCCTTGGAAACAGCTGATTCCAGGACTGGGGCATGGAAATGTATGGTGAGCCTTGGAATCTTGTGCCAAAATCTAAGGAAATGCTCAAAGACTCCTAGAGCCATATCAAAACGACATGGGAGTCAGCCTGAAGAGAATTCTGCTGGCCAAACTGGAGAAATTTGAGCATTACAAAGAAAATGACTGAACTAAATGTGTAACACTGAATTTAAGAAAACATTGAATCAGTGATAATCAGAAACAAACAAAACGACTTTGCTACTATTGGAAGTAGACGCTTCTTGCGCTGAAAACTGGTATTCTAAGGGAAAGAATTAGGCTTTTACCTTGCATTTCTGGTTCACGTTCTACAGAGGAGAAAAAGCTCATCTTTACAAAATAATGTCAGCTAAGAAACGTAGATTGGATGACAGAATTAAATCACTGTAGAGAAAATGAAAGTTCCTATGGCCAGGATTCTCACCTGGCCCTGGACAGCTTGCTCCCTACACACGTGTGGGCAATATGTTATTACTGAGTCTATATACAGAACTCCACCCAGGGCTCTGGGTGGCTGCATGACTGAGAGAGAGAGCAGAAGCTGGAGTGGTGGCACTGCCGAGGATAGAGACTGAGGCGGCTGCGGGGACAGAGAGGCCCAGAGGCAGAGACTGGCTTACTGCATGCAGGCTTGTTTTGCAGACGGGGTTCAAGCGCTTGACCTGCCATCACTGGGAGAATACAGTTGGGTGTAAACCCTTTTGTTACGGGCTGGAACATTGTGTTTCCCCAGGATTTTTGTCTCTGAGGCGACGAAGAACGAAGCCAGCAGACAAGAGTACGGAGCAATCAGCAAAGCTCCTTCAATGAGTGAAAAGAGAAAGCAAGAACTCCTGGACTCCAAGAGAGGACGCCACCAGAGTTGCTCTATCAGGGGTTTACATTGCCTCCTAAGAGGAGGAACTTCCACCCCCACCGCCACCGCCACCGCCACCGCCACCCGATGGAGAACTGAATTAACTCCTGATTGGCTGAAAGTACAGTGCTTCATTTGCATAAAGTAGCTGAGGTCTATGTACCTTTGAATGGTTGGGCTTCATTTACACAGGACACAGAGAGCAGCTGAGGTCTATCGAAATGGCTGAGTTGGATTGGGGCTTTTTACAAGGGTCCTGAACTTTATCTGCGTGCTTCCCACCACCAGTTGCCTCACTTTCACTTCAAGAACATTCCATTGTCATTTTTCGGTCTCACTGAATCAAGATTGAACTTACACGGGGCTGAAACTCTCAGGCAGGGCAATCACCAAGTCAGGAAATACATTTTAAAAATTAGGAAAATAAATCACTGAGTAGGAAAGCAGTAAGAAATGGATGCTAAAATCTTTAGGTGAGAGGTTACTGAGGAACAGGACAGTCAAACGGTGCTGAAGTAACAGCTTACACATCTCTTGTGTAATTATAAAGAGAAAACTACGTGGAGAGTTCTGAGGGCCACCACCTTAACTAAGAGTGGACAACTGCCATTACACACCTCACGATGCGATGCAACATAAAGTATGTGGCACTACTTATGAAGCATTCTCGTCAAAAGTGGTTAAATACAAATCTAATGAAGCCCCTAGGCCCAACAACTTCTGGTTTACAGGAAATTCACAGGCAGGAAGGAGGAGCTAAACACCACCATAAAAAGCAAACCATCCTGGCTTGCCCAGGACTGAGGGTACTCCAGGATGCAGGGTCAGTGCTAAAACCAGGAGAGTCTCAGGCAAACCCGGGTGGTTGATCACACGATAATCAGACAGGTTCCTAATGTGGGGCATACGTGGTCTCTAAAAGTCAGTGCCAATAAAAAAAAAAAAGTACAGAGACTGTGCTAGATTAAAAGAGACTAAAGAGACACTACGCCCAAGTGCAACATGTGAACTGGCCATAAAAGACATTGAGGGGACAGCTGAGGATATCAAAATACACAGAGCAGTGCTACTCTGCCAGCCCATAGATGAAAATGAGCTATGTCACTAAGTGCACTAATTTGGCTGTTGGTAACAGGACTTTCTCAGCAAAGGATTTGGCACACTGATGCACATTCTGATGTGAGCTCCCCTGTGAACTATCAAGCAGTCTGTAGACTACCCTTCCAGAAGCACTGGATTAGGTATTAGATAATATTGGTGAAGATCAGTGAGGCACTGTTTATCTTTTTTGGCTGGGCTTATAGTATTACGGTTATGTAAAGAAATGTCCTTATGCTTAAAAGATGTATGCTGAGGTATTTAAAGATGACGTGTCATGATGTCTACAGCTTACTTCCAAATGGTTTGTCAAAGAACAGAGACACAGATAAAGCAAATATGGCAAAATAGTATCACTTGTTGAATCTTGGTGGTGGACGTACTCATGTTCATTGTACTATCCTTTCAACTTTCCTGCATGTTTTAAAGTTTTCATAATAAAAATGACAGAAGAATGAATCTAAAATCTTCTTACTTACAAGATATGACTAATACAATTATCAGGAAGCTGATTATCCACAGTCAATCCTATATTTATTAGACATTCCTCATATGTAACTTAAAAACAGAAAGATGAGCAGATGTAGACAAAAGAGGTAATGAAAAGCACATTCCAAGCTAAAGAAACAGAATGTGAAAAGAACCAGAATGGAAGAAATTTGTCTTTTACAGAGAAAAGAATTCAATGTCTCTAGAGAAACGAGGCTGCCCAGATGATGAAGGGGCTTTGAGGCTATATCAAGAATTTGGGACTTTATTTTAAAAGCAAAAGAAGCTGATAACAGATTTTAAGCATTGCAGAAACTCAGTGAGATGGCATTTTAGAAAACTCACTCTATAGAGAATGGAATAGATGCAGGCAAGAGCAGATACAGCAAGTATCGGTTGGGAAGATGGCCCTTTCAGTTATAATCTGATGGGAGAGGATGGGCACCTGCAGGGATGGAGACCTGGTGATACACTGGACGGGGCAGGGGGTACAGGAGAAGGAAGACTCAGATGTAATTCCCAGGCTTCTGGCTTGATTGACTGGGTAGATTGATGTATTCATCAAGATTGGGAATATAGGAGCAACAACAGGTTTGGGGGAAAGATGTAAAGCATTCAACGTTAGGTATGTTGAGTTTGGGAAGATATCCAGGTAGAGTCTACCTTGTAGGAAGCTGAATATGAAAATGAGAAAGGTAACTCTGGTTTCCAGCTCAGGTAACTAATAAGTAGGCTTAACATTTACAGATACGGGGAACACAGGAGGAGAAGGTAGACGTCACATTACATTTACAAATTTTTAAGTTATAAAAATAATATGAACTCATTACATAAAGTGAAAAATAGGGGAACAGAAATAAAACATATGACTACTGTAAATCAACACTTTTTATCATTTTAGGTTATTTCCATCTAGTATTCTTAAATGGATGTTTATGCAGTGCCTTAAGATCAATATTTTTCTGGAGAGGAGGCTTCTCTGAGGTATTTAGGATTGAGAATTAAAAATACTAGTTGACCTAACATTTACATTTTGTAAATCAATGTTTGCTAAATTACATATCCTTAGGCTGTTAAAATACTCAAAACATAATCTAAATTGTCGGGCAAGTATCCAAGAACAACTCCAGAGCTGAAGAAATCATGGATGAGACAAGAGAAAGTCTGTTGCAATATCCAGTTTATTATAGTATATACTGGATCACCAGGGGATTCTCGAGCTCTCTGCCTCTACCTCTATGCTACACAGCACAATTTTAGGTATTCAGTCTCTTCTTTGACAGTCTTTCCCATAGAGACTGTACTGCGACCAATTCTCCCTCCACAGGCAAGAGCTAATTGAAACTACTGCCCCTATGGATAACCATATTTTTAAAGGGTATTCTAAAAGCTTCAAAGCCTAGAAAACCCAAAGGAATGAAGCTCTATTGAGATCATGCAGTCACCCTGCAATCACTTCATGGCTTACTCTGCTGTTTAATAAAGCTAGACTTGTTTCTACTTCTAATTCTTGGTTACCTCATGAACATGTCCAGTAAAATCTCTGGGCAAATACAGAGACCCAAGTCAATGTGAAATTATTACCAGCTGCAGAGAAAAGCTGTTGTCAGCACACCCACAGGCAGAGTTAGTCAGAGGAGACAAGCCTATAAACTAGGATCAAGGCTGCCATGACAGGCTAACGGCATGAGGAAGGAACAGTGCAGATTCAGGACCAAGGAGTGGTCACAACCAAGCACACACTCATCAGAACAAGGGAACCTGAAAACTAAGGTTATAAATCCGCCTCAGATGGGAGGCCTACAATATTCTTCATGCTCATGATCCAAAGACTGGCTTCCCTGGCAATGCTCTCAGGGTCTGCAATGCACCAATATACCAAACCTGGAAATTACTGAAACTTCAGCCTTAACAAAGAGCCTGCAGTCTTGGAGGAGGCCACTTATCGTGTGAAGAGGAGCACCAGCTCGCAGTGTGGGGTGTGTGGGAACAGATCCACGGGCACAGCTCGTCTCAGCACAAAAGGCTCGCCGAGGAGCTTCTTAGCAGGGTTTAAAGGGCAGCACAGCCTGTAAAAACAGATCATATTATCAGCTATTAGAAACCAAGGAAAATCTGCAGGAACACCATCTCCTACAATGTAAGCCCTTCCACTGCATCCCACAGCCCCGTTTTTCTCTCTGTAATAGCACTTACCATATTTAGCGTTAACTACCTGGAGTTTTTTTTTTAATCCCTCTTTTTCACTGGAGTATAGTCTTTTGGAAGGTAGAAACAAGGCCAAACCTGCTTATTATTAGTCTCTGTGTTCCCAGTGTCTGACAGAGTAAGGGGTTCAATGGTGAATGGATCAAGGAGTCAAGGTCATATACTTCTCTATATGATTTGCACAAACAGGTAATTAATAAATATTACTGAATTAGATTATTCTACTGAAATTTTCAAAGTATATTACTTTTTCCCTTTATTTCAAAGGTAGTCAAGGAAAAATGAGAACAAAAATTCACCTATAAACTCACCATGCAGAGAAGAATGACCATTTGCTAACACTTTAGGATATATCTTTCCAAATACGTGCATTCAAATTGGTTTCTTAAAATGGAGTCACACTGCACATACTGTACACACTGTTTACAACCTGTTTCTTCAGTTAATAATACCTCATGAACATTTCTCCACTATATGTAAACCTGCCTCACTTTTATTGGCTGTATGGTATTTCATTGAATAAATAAAATGTAGTTTATTTATCTAATTCTTTGTTATTGGAAACACAAGCTGTTTCTAACTTTTTGCTATTTAAAAAGTCCCTCCATGAATAGTGTTAATAGTTATACCTTTGTGCACATTTTTAGTTAGTTAGTGGAACTGCTGAGTTGAAGGACCTGTATGGTTTTAAGGCCCTAAGATGTATACCACTAAATGGTTCTACAAAAGGTTGTATCAATTTACATTCAAACTAACAAAGCAGAAGAGTTCTTGTTTCCCTTGCTAATACTCAATAGCTTAAATAGCACCATCCCATTAAAATCAGGAACAAGACAAGATATTCACTATGACTCCTACAATGGAACATTTTCTCATCCAGGGTAATAAGAAAAGAAAGAAAGAGACAAGACTTTTTTTATATGGTAATCATATGGCCAGCTACCAAGAAAATCCAAGGGACTGAACTGGAAAAGGAATAAAACTAATAAAAGGGTAAGGTAGTTGGACACAAGCTCGGCAATAACCGCTTAGAAAATGTCATGAACAAGGTCTCACTCATAATGGCAATAAAAACTTTACAATATCTTGTATCAACCTTAAGAAGAAGACCCATACTGGAAAATATATATAGTTATAGAGAATTGCATTTTAAGACTCCAGTAACTGAAGAGACATACCACATGCCTGGACAGAAAAAAATACTGTAAAGATTTTAATTCTCCTTAAACTAACTAGTAAATTCAGTGTACTTCCAATTACAATCCCAAATGGATGTTTTTGATAAGTTGATTCTAGAACCCTATTATAAAATACATGAAAACGTTACAGCATACATCCTTTAACCCAACAATTCCACAACAGGGATTTATCTAACATATATGCTATTACTATCACATACACTTATTCATTACCTATACAAACTTATTACACATATGTGCAAAGATAATTGCATGAAGATATTCACTGCAACATTGTGGCAACAATACAGTGCAAACAACCTTGAAATTTACTAGCAGGGACTAGTTAAATGGCATATTTATGTAAGTTAAAATTATATAGCTTATTTAAAAACTTAAGTAGACCTGTAAGTATTGATGCAGATTCTACATCGTGGTAGAACAATCTCCAAAATCTATTGTTAACTGAAAAGCATGGTACAGAACAGTGTTTATAGTCTGTTTCTATTTGTTAAAAAAAAGAAAGAGGGTTGGTATGTACACATACACATACTTGTACACACACACATATAGTAACAGAATATCTTTGACAGGCTACACAAGAAACTGGTAAGCATGGTGACACCTGAAGGACTGCAGGTCAGGAGTAAGAAAGACTCATTCTTCACTGCATACTCTTTTGCACTGCTAGATTTTTTCTGCTATAGGCACATACTGTCTTCTCAAAATAAAATTTTCTTGCTTTTCTGAGGCCATGTTTATTGTTTCACTCAGTATGAGTGTTAGCCGAATCCTACATTAACTCTTAATTATTGAATTTTTTAATTCGCCGTTTTGCATAGTGAACCTTTTCATTTTATTCAAAAATGAAATAGCATAAAAAGATATACAGTAAAGTCTCCTTCCCACCTGTGACTCCCATCTCCACAGTTCTACCCCACCCACAGATCACTACTATCCAGTTTCTTATGTAACTTACCAGTTTCTCTATACATATACAAACACAGACCTATATTCTTCTCCGCATCCTCCATCCTTTTTTACAAAAATAGTTAATTATTATATGAACAATTTTACACACCTTGCTATTTCCAATTAGCAACATATCTTTGATCCAAAATCACAGCCGCAAAAGAAAAAAGTCTGGAATCTTCAAAATTAAATACTCTTGTGCTTCAAAGGACACCATCAAGAAAGTGAACACAGAACCCACAGAATAGGAAAAAATGTTTGCAAATCATGTATCTGATAAGGCACTTAACATGTGAATACATAAGGAAATCTGAGAACTCAATAATAAAGGACAACCCACTTCAAAAATGGGCAAAGGATCTGAATAGACGTTTCTGCAAAGAAGACATACAAATGGTCAATATGCACGTGAAAAAATGCTCATAACATTAGCCACTGGGGAAATGTAAATCAAAACCACAAGGCAATACCACTCCCTACCCACTAGGATGGATATAATAAAAAAGACGGGCAATAATAAGAGTTGGTGAGGATGTGGAGAAATTGGTACCCTCATACACTGCTGGGAGGAATGTAAAATGGGGCAGCTGCTCTGGCAAATGGTCTGGTAGTTCCTTAAAAGGTGAATACAGAGTTACCACATGACCCGGCAGTTCCACTCCTAGGTACCTACCCAAGAGAAATGAAAACATGTCCACACAATGCTTGCACATGGAATGTTCACAGCAGCATTATTCATAAGAGCCAAAAGGCAGAAACAACCCAAATGTCCAACAACTTATGAGTGAATAAGTAAAATGTGGTAAATCCATATAATGGATTATTTTGGCCATAAAAATGAATCAAATACTGATTCATGGTACAGCATGCTAAGTAAAAGAAGCCAGATGCAAAGAACCATATAGTATGATTTCATTTGTATGAAATGTGCAGAATAGAGACAGAGAGTAGATTCATGGTCGCCTAGGGCCAGAGAGTCGGGGAAAAGTGGGGAATGACTGGCAAGGGGTACAGGGCTTCTTTTTGAAGACATGAAAATGTTCGGGAATTAGATGGTGGTGATAGCTACACAATTCTGTGAACACAACAAAAACCACTGAATTGTACACTTTAAATGGTTGAATTTTATGACATGTGAATTATATCTCCATAAAGCTGTTACTAAAAAATAACATACCTTAGGGATCTTTCCATACCGGCACATAGAGAACACCTCCATTCTTTTTTGTAGCCGTACAGTATTCCACTGTATTGATATGGCATAGTTGATTTACTAGTTCCCCACTGATGAACTTTCAGGATATTTCATTGTTTGCTGTTACAACATTGCAATAAAAAAGTTGCACGTTTGTCATTTTACTGGTATGTCACTATATTTGTAAGATAAAGCCTCAGAAATAGAATTACTGGGTCAAAGGTATATATACATTTTAATTTTCATCTATATTGCTAAATTTCTCTCCAATGGCATAGTGCCAGTTTACACTCTGAGCTGTAATTTTTTAAATTGTTTCCCCAGAGTATTGCCAAGAGTGCATTACCAAACTTTTGAACTTTTGCCAATCTGAGATGTAAAAAGTAGTATCACAGGGTAATTCTACTTTGCATTTCCATCATAATGGAAGAAACTGAGCATCCTTCCGTGGTTCATAAACACATTTATAATATTTTCTTTTCATAGCCTCTGTTCATTTTTCTTTGGAGCTGTTTTTTTTCATACCGATTTCCAGGAGTTCGTTAATCTTAAGAATAAAACTCTTTGTGATATGAAATACAAATTTTTTCTAGCTCACATGTCATCTCCTGTCTTCACTTCTGGTGCTTTTTATTATGCAAGTTATTGATTTTTTCCACTGTTTTGTTGATGAAGAATTCACATACCATGTGGCTCACCCATTTATACAGTTTAGCAGCTTTAAATATATTCACAGAGTTGTGTATCCATCACAACAATCAATTTCATAATATTTTCATTAACCCAACAAGATATCATGTACTGCTTAGCAGTTATTCCCCATTTCTCCCCAAGCTCCCCCTACCTCAGTCCTAGGCAACCACAAATCTACTTTCTGTCTCTGGAAGACTTGCCTAGTCTGGACATTTCCTGGAAATGGAATCATACAATAAGTGGCCTTTGGTGGGTGGCTTCTGGATACAGTCCCTTATCAGATAAATTATGTGCAAATATTTTCTACTATTCTGTAGGTTTCCTTTTCACTTTCTTGATGGTATCATTTACAGCACAAAGGGTTTTTTAATTTTGATGATGTCCGATTATACACATACACACACACACATGTATTTTTTTATATACATATTTTGTTGTTGTTGCTTGGGTTTTTGATGTCATCTAACAAGGCTTTGCCTAACCCAAGACCACAAAGATTTGCTCCTATGTTTCAACTCTTACATTTAGTTCTATGATCCATTTTGAATTCATTTCTGTGCATGGTGTAATGAGGGGAGAAGCTATTTTTCTATGTAGCCAAATTTAATGACATTTTATTATATGGCTTCTGAATTTTCACAGAAAGGGCTTTCACACCCCAAGATTATAAAGAAATTCTATGATTTCCTAGGGTACACTTATGGTTTCCCCTGTTTACATTTAAATCCCTGACTCCTTTGTAATTTATCCTGATACACAATGTGAGATACAGTTTCAATTTTTATGTATTCCACCATGGCTACCCAGCCGTCCACCACTATTTATTGGATAGTCCATCTTTTTCCCATTGATACTGATTTTTCATATATTCAAAAACATTTTAAAATAATATAATAAAAATAAAAATAGAGGGCAAATGGAAGAGTAAATGTGTGAGAATACACAAGGAAATAAGACGGTTAGAACATATGGGCCTCATGCTTTCATTCTGGGTAGCTCTTTGACAACTTTCTGCTTTTCTTCCATGGTTACAGATCTGTTCAGGTTTACTATATCTTCTGAAATTAATATTGGCCATTTGTATTTTCCCAGAAAATCACCCATCAGGGTTTTCAAATGTATTGCAAGGGACTTGTACAAATTACTTTCCTTTAAAAAAATTCTTCACGTCTGTTTTTTTTTCCTGTTTTTCTCATGTAAGACTTTATATTTTTGTTTTATTCCTTTATATTCTTGAGTAGGTTTATTTATCTATAATTTTATTTTATTCTTCCAATAACACCTCTCTGTCTATTTGTCAAGTCTACAGGTTTTTTTTGTTTTGCAGTTCATTTATTTCCAGATCTATTTCAACAGTATTGATTTCTTTCCTCAGTTTCCTTTACATTTATTGTTCCTTTTCTAGCTCATTGACTTGAAAGCTCAATTCATTTAATTCACACTTATTTTACCCAGGCATATCATCTATACTTTATATCTACCTATGCTGTTTGAATATTATAAAGAAATTGTAATATTTACATAAAATGAATAAGAGAGAGATGGAGAGAAAGACTACAAGAAGAAAACATTTCAAAAATCAAAATACCAAAACAACTGACCAGGGCCAGAACTGGACTGAAGCAAGAGGCATTAACTTTGGATGTAAAATTTGAAAAGGGCCCAAAAACCTCAATAATCAAGACAAATATTATTTTGACACAATATTTTAGAAAATCAAATTGGAAAGCTTACAGCCTGTAGGCTGGTTGCCTGCTTTTATAAAAGGTTTTACTGGAACCAGGGCCAGGATTAGGGTAAGGTTTACAGGCAGGGTTTAGCAAGTATAGGAATGGATCTCACCTTCTAAAAAAATCCTAATATTTTGTTCAGCACGGGTTTTTTTAAACTAATTTTGGTTTTTGAAAACATTGCATTGAGAATGCATCTTGATTACTGAGATTTGGGGCAGCCTCTTAAATTTTCACTTGAAGTAAGTTGCTTTACTTGCCTCATCCAAGACTCAGCTCTATAATTGTCTTGATGGTAGTATGACTTTTTCTCTTTCTTTACACTTCTCTTCACTTTCCAAATTCTACACAATAAGCATGGATTACTTTGATAATCAGGAAGAAACAATTTCAAAAAGAAGTCCAGACTCACTCAATGATGTTCCTTGTGGCTTCACCATGGGGCTTACAGGAAACAAACACTAGTGTGTGGATGGCGCTGCAGTTTCGAACGGCTTGCACCACCTGGTAATCTGAAGGAAGAAACACATTGCTATTAATATAATTAAGCTATCATGGTCTGGGTTATCACAAACTCTAAACTGGCCAGCAACTAGAGGAGAAGCCAGTTCACAGCCAGCCCACAGTCAACCCATCAGGAGCACTATTAGCATGCTATGGCACAAGGGACTAAAGCGGGTGGACATTATCTGTTCTGTGGCAGGAAAGCCATCATCCTTACGCAGTCCTGCCCGGGCTGGGTTCAGCACAGCAACAATTAACTGCCCATCTTCTTTTGATTTAAGTAGCTGTGGCAAAATCTTCTCTGCTCGACCAGTGTGGAACTCACAGTTGGTGATGCCTGCAGAAGAGAGGCCGTAACTCAAAACTCAAGCCCAGCAATGCAGGATGCAGAGCTTCTGCTTCAAAGAAATGTGCAGAAGCCAGGCCTCTGCCATTTTCCATTTGAATTTAGAATACTTCTCAGTAACAATGAAAGAAATGCTTTTGGACCTGCTTCCTTTCTTCCGAAGCACTTTCTCTTGCAGTATCTTGGTAGGCCTTTCAGCTCAAGCAACTAGACAGTGTTACCTTACAGGTTAGTGACTCACACAATGTATAAGTACCTCTACCAAGAAGAGAACCTTGACTTTTACTCAGGTGCTCTTTCTGTTATGTTGGAGGTTTTCACACAGCCTCAGGAGGTGTCTGAGGTGAGGGAGAGACAACAAAGGAATCTGTTTTCTATATTGCAGTTTGGCATAATGTTTTGTTCAAAGAAAAGTTCCTGTTGTTAAAAATAGTTTCAAACCTATTATATTATGTTATGCTTTATGAGCGTAATGTCAAGAAGGCTCTTCTTATATATTATCCAAAGTTTTGTCACATTCCCTTCCTATCAAGTAGGCTTGAACCTTCCCTCAGGCTCTTCTCCTAATAAGAAAAAAGATTAGCTATTGGGACCACATTCAGAAAGCCAGCAGGACCCAACTCTGAGCACTCCAGAACATTCCCTTCCTTTCCTCCCCACAGGCTGTAGATAAGGAGATGCCCTTTGCCATACAACCCTTTCTGTAGCACAGAAACAACTGCAGCTTTTAATTTCTGCCCAGACTGTGAGCAGTGTACCGTTGAAGGCTGCAGTCCACCTGGCATCCTCTACCGCCTGCTCCACCAACTCAATCCCAAGGACCTGGGAGGAATGCTGAGCCAGAGAGGCCGATCACGCCTGGGGAAGTAAAAGAGAGTAACAGGAGGGTATTTCAGAGTTTAAACCAGTTAAGGTCATACCTGTATCACTACCACCCCCTCCCAACCAGTGCTACCAGGGCCCTGGGTGCTAGGTGGCTGAGGTTCAGCAGCTCAGCGGCATATAGATTCTGCCCTGGGCTGCCACTTGCCAGTTCCACAACAGGTATCAAGCAGGATGGTGTTAGAGTTCACTCCACTCAGCTCTCTCACGGTCTGATACAGCATTTCTGCACCAGCCGTATTAATCTGGAAAAAGGCATCTGGAGAGATGCGAATCTTCAAGTCCAAGAGATCTTCAAAGATGTGCGGTTCCCCAAATAGGAGCTGGTAGGGGGATTGCTGATGGCTGCAGCGGGTCATGGTGCTGGAAAAGAGTAAAAGAAGAAAGTGTCTACTATGTGTCAGCTGTACTTCAAATAAAAAAAAGAAGAAGAAGAAGAAAGCACCTGGGAATATCAGACCATTCTATCTCTCATAGTTATCTGAAGTGGGAGGCCCCAGCATCTCATCCAGCTGGCACGGCCCTGACAGCTCTATAAAAGCTCCCCTCTCAAGGCATGGAGGTGCACGCAGACACTCTCTCAACTACAGTCTGGCCTGGCTTTCCAGGCCTGCCTGAGCACAAGGGCCAGTATGATTTAGCTCAGATCCTCAGACATCAGCAGCCTTGCCTCCGCAACCAACAGCCCAGCCAACGGCAAGCCATCAGCCTCCCGCTTACTGTTTGGCTGTCCCAGGCTTACCTCTCCTGGAAGTAAAGTGATGTCAAGTCACAAACTGCTCCTGGTCCCTTGCTGAAAAATGCTTTTATTGTCTCTTTCTGAACACAGAGTTCCTCCTGCCCAGACCACAAAATGAGGAGTCAAGCAAAAACTCATCTTTGACAAACTTTCTCTCTAAGCTCTACAGTCATGAGCCCTGCAGCAGTCAGACAAGAAGGCACATTTCTCAAATCTGATTATAAGTAACACTTAATATGAAGCAATGTTCTATAGGACAAGAAAAAAATACGCTATTTTCACATCTCAGTAGAAGCATTGCTTTGCTTATCAGCTTGTGACAAATTCTATACAGTAGACTCGGCATATTCTCTGCTTTAAGCCTCTTTAGTAGTTCTCTAAAGAAAGTATGAGTTATTCTTGCAGAAAACGAGGAGCTAAAATCAGCCTTTACCCCATCATGAAGAAGCTATAACCTTTCGATTCCCTTCATACTTCTCCACTTCAAATATCCTAACCACCGACCAAATACCACCTCAAAAGAGATGAGTCCTGGGAGACAAGAAAACGGAGGGCACAGAAGGGAGTGTGCATGGTAACTAAATCCTTTTGCTTTTTCAGTTTTGAACATTTAAAAATTCTTACATCACTACAGAGAGACTATTACCTTGATACAAGGATATATCACAATAAACGATGCTGGAGCCACACAGTTAAAAGGCCAGAAATCAACGACCTTGGTTCAAGCCATAGCTTGACTATTTACTGGTTTTTTAACCTTCTACACTTCCATTGGCTCATCTGTGAAACTAGGGTGATAAGACCACTTACTCTCCCACGTACTTCACAACTTGGATGAGGTGATCACACAGTTATGGGAATGTTTGAAAGCTCTCAGTCTATTACAGATGTAAAGTATTATTTGGGTTATGAAACTCATACTATATTCCAGTCTCTATTAAACTGGCTTTTGGACTCGGTAGAGTACATACCAACTAACCTCCAAGAGCAAAGTTCTTGTGAAAATACTTAGGTGTCCCAAAAGCAGCAGGATATACATTCTTCTCAAGTGCACATGGAACATTTTCCAGAATAGATGATAAACTAGACCACAAAAAGAGCCTCAGCAAATGAAAAAAGACTGAAATTGTACCAACCAAATTCTCTGATCACAAAGGTATGAAACTAGAAATAAACTGTACAAAGAAAACAAAAAGGCTCACAAACACATGGAGTCTTAACATGCTCCTAAATAATCAATGGATCAATGACCAAATTAAAATAGAGATCAACCAATATATGGAGACAAATGACAACAACAGCACAAAGCCCCAACTTATGTGCAATATAGCAAAGGCAGTTCTAAGAGGAAAGTATATAGCAATCCAGGCCTATTTAAAGAAGGAAGAACGATCCCAAATGAATTGCCTAAATTCACAATTACTGAAACTGGAAAAAGAAGAACAAATGAGGCCCAAAGTCAGTAGAAGGAGGGACATAATAAAGATCAGAGAAGAAATATATAAAATTGAGAAGAATAAAAGAATAGAAAAAATTAATGAAACCAAGAGCTGGTTCTTTGAGAAAATAAACAAAATAGATAAACCCCTAGCCAGACTTATCAAGAAAAAAAGAGAATCTATACACATACACAGAATCAGAAATGAGAAAGGAAAAATCACCACGGATACCACAGAAATATAATTATTAGAGAATATTATGAAAAATTATATACTAACAAACTGGATAACATAGAAGAAATGGACAACTTTCTAGAAAAATACAACCTTCCAAGATTGACCCAAGAAGAAAAAGAAAATCTGAATAGACCAATTGCCAGAAATGAAATTGAATTGGTAATCAAAAAACTACTCAAGAACAAAATCCCGGGCCAGATGGATTCACCACTGAATTTTATCAGACATTTAGAGAAGACATAATACCCATTCTCCTTAAAGTTTTCCAAATAATAGAAGAGGAGGGAATACTTCCAAACTCATTCTATGAAGCCAGAATCACTCTAATACCAAAACCAGGCAAAGACACCACAAAAGAAGAAAACTACAGACCAATATCCCTGATGAACATAGATGCAAAAATACTCAACAAAATATTACCAAACCAAATTCAAAAATACATCAAGAGGATTATACAACATGATCAAGTGGGATTCATCCCAGGGATGCAAGGATGGTACAACATTAGAAAATCCATCAACATCATCCACCACATCAACAAAAAAGAGGACAAAAACCACATGATCATCTCCATAGATGCCGAAAAAACTTTTGACAAAATTTAACACCCAGTCATAATAAAAATCTCTCAATAAAATGAGTATAGAGGGCAAGTACCTCAACATAATAAAGGCCATATACAACAAACTCACAGCCAACATTATACTTAACAGTGAGAAGCTGAAAGCTTCTCCTCTAAGATCAGGAACAAGACAAGGATGCGCACTCTCTCCACTTTCATTCAACATAGCTCTGAAGGTCCTCCCCATGGCAATCGGACAATACAAAGAAATAAAAAGCATCCAGATTGGCAAGGAAGAATTTAAACTTTCCCGGTTTGCAGATGATATGATATTGTACATAAAAAACCCTAAAGAATCCACTCCAAAACTACTAGATCTAATATCTGGATTCAGCAAAGTTGCAGGATACAAAATTAATACACAGAAATCTGTCGCATTCCTATACACTAATGATGAACTAGCAGAAAGAGAAAACAGGAAAACAATTCCATTCACAATTGCATCAAAAAGAATAAAAGACCTAGGAATGAACCTAACCAAGAAGATGAAAGACCTATACCCTCAAATCTACAAGACAGTCTTGAGAGAAATTAAAGAGGGCACTAATAAATGGAAATTCATCCCACGCTATTGGGTAGGAATAATTAATATTGTCAAAATGGCCATCCTGCCAAAAGCAAACCACAGATTCAATGCAATCCCTATCAAAATACCAACAGCATTCTTCAATGAACTGGAACAAATATTTCTAAAATTCATATGGAACCAAAAAAGACCCCAAATAGCCAAGGCAATCCAAAGAAGTAAGAATAAAGCAGGGGTAATTATGCTCCCCAACTTCAAGCCCTACTACAAAGCCATAGTTATCAAGACAATTCAGTACTGGCACAAGAACAGACCCATAGACCAATGGAATAGACTAGAGAGCCCACATATTAATCCAAGCATATATGGTCAATTAATACACAATAAAGGAGCCATGGATATACAATGGGGAAATGACAGCCTCTTCAACAGCTGGTGTTGGCAAAACTGGACAGCTACATGTAAGAGAATGAAACTGGATTAGTCTAACTCCATACATAAAAGTTAACTCGAAATGGATCAAACACCTGAATGTAAGTCATGAAACCATAAAAGTCTTAGAAGAAAACCCATGCAAAAGTCTCTTGAATATAAACATGAGCACCTTCTTCATGAACATATCTCCCCAGGCAAGGGAAACAAAAGCAAAAATGAACTATATCAAACTATATCAAACTAAAAAGCTTCTGTACAGCAAAGGACACTATCACAAAGTGATATGTTCTACTGCCTTATCAGTAGAACAAAAAGGCATCCTACAGTATGGGAGAATATATTCATTAATGACAGATCCAATAACGGGTTGACATCCAAAATATACAAAGAGCTCACGCGCCTCAACACCCAAAAAGCAAATAACCCGATTAAAAAATGGGCAGAGAATCTGAACAGACACTTCTCCAAAGAAGTAATTCAGATGGCCAACAGGCACATGAAAAGATGCTCCTCGTCACTAATTATCAGGGAAATGCAAATTAAAACCACAATGAGATATCACCTGACACCAGTTAGGATGGCCAACATCCAAAAGACAAACAACAAATGTTGGCAAGGATGTGGAGAAAGGGGAGCCCTCCTACACTGCTGGTGGGAATGTAAATTAGTTCAACCATTGTGAAAGCAGTATGGAGGTTCCTCAAAAATACTGAACGTAGAAATAGCATTTGACCCAGGAATTCCACTCCTAGGAATTTACCCTAGGAAAACAGATCACAGATCCAAAAAGACATATGCACCCCTATGTTTATTGCAGCACTTTTTACAATAGCCAAGAAATGGAAGCAGCCTAAGTGTGCATCAGTAGATGAATGGATAAAGAAGATGTGGCACATATAAACAATAGAGTATTATTCAGCCATAAGAAGAAAACAAATCCTACCATTTGCAACAACATGGATGGAGCTAGAGGGTATTATGCTCAGTGAAATAAGCCAAGCGGAGAAAGAGAAGTACCAAATGATATCACTCATCTGTGGACTATAACAACAAAACAAAACTGAAGAAACATCAGCACACTCACAGACTCCAAGAAGGGACTAGCAGTTACCGAAGGGGAGGAAGGGAGGGATAAGGGGATTGAGGGGCATTATGATTAGCACACATAATGTAGGGGGGTCTTGGGGAAGGCAGTATAGCACAGAGAAGACAAGTAGTAACTCTATAGCATCTTACTATGCTGATGAACAGTGACTGTAATGGGGTATGTGGTGGAGACTTGATAATGGGGTGAATCTAGTAACCACGGTGTTGCTCATGTAATTGTGTATCAATGATACCTTAATAAAAATATAAAATAAAATAATAAAAATAAAGCACCGTAAGGGTAAAACTGCAAAACAAAAGAAAAGAAAATATTTAGGTGTCATCACATGATAATCAGCTCAGTAACCTTGCCTCAGTCTCTGTGGTTTGACTATGTGAACAGCACAGTCAAAGAGTATCCTTGCCATTTCCTCCTCACCCCGAAGCCCTCTTCCCAACCCACACAAATATTCTGGATAGATTGGTGTCTGCTATCTGCCCTGAAACTAAAAACCAATTAATTGCAGGATAGTTGACAGTAAAGGTTGCTCCAAAAGCTGCCCCTTATCATCCTAGGAGTCTCACCTGCCTTAATTCCTGGGGATGGAAAGTGATGATGGCCATCGTGTGCCCTTGGTTATTGGTGCGGACCATGAGCTTCACGCCAATATCCACCTTCATGAAACAAAAGGCAGGGCTCCAGTGGGGACTGTCGAAGCAATACTTCATAGTACTAGGAAGAAAACAAGATTATTACACAGGCAAAACTAACAGGTTCCAAAGCAATTCATGCTGAGTGAGTGTCATGAGCTCAACTGTATCCCCTGCAAAATTCATATATTGAAGATTTAACCAATCCAGTACCTCAGAATGTCACTGTCTTTGGAGATAAGGTCTTTAAAAGGGGTGGTAAATTAAAATGAGGTCATCAGGGTGGGTCCTAATCCAACATGACCGGTATCCTTGTAAGAAGAGGAAATCTGGACACACAAAGAAGTGCAAGGGATGTGCAAACAGAGGAAAGATCACACAAATACACAGTGATAAGGTGGCCATCTACAAACCAAGGAGAGAGGCCTCAGAAAAAACCAGATTTGCCAACATCTTGATCTTGGACTTCTAGCTTTCCTGTCAGAAAATAAATCTCTGTTTGTTGAGCTGCCCAGTTCATGGTACTTTGTTATGGCAGCCCTAGCAGACTGATACAGTTTTGGTACCAAGAAGTAGGATGCTGCTATAACAAATACCTAAAACTATATAATGGCTTTGGAACTGGTAATGGGGAGAGGCTGGAAGAGTTTTGAGGTGCACATTAGAAAACACCTAAACTGCCCTGAAGAGACTGTTGGTAGGAATACCAATGTTAAAGGTGATTCGGGTGAGATCTCAGAACGAAATGAGGCACATGTTACTGGAAACTGGAGAAAATTCAATCCTTGTTATAAAGTAGCAAGGAACTTGGATGAATTGTGTCCTAGTGTTGAGTGGAAAGTAAAAGTTCTAAGTGACCAACTTGGGTATTTGGCTGCTTTTTCGAAGTGAACAACATGGATATTTGGCTGACATTTCTAAGAAAGTTTTGAAGGTATGGCCTGGTTTCTCCTTGCCGCTCACAGTAAAATGCCTGAGAGAGATACTCTGAAGGAATTGCTAAACAAAAAAGGAACCAGAACTTGAAGATTTGGAAAAATTTCAGCCTACCCATATAAGAAAACATGAAAAAGCATGTTCAGGAGATAACACCAAGATTATGGCTAGACAGTCTTTTGATAAAGAGATTACAGGTGTGATTCACGGATCCATTCAGCTATCTCAGCAGAAGTCAGGAGTAGAGATGCGGTGAGATCAGCAGAAACACTGCCACCTTGGGCTGAAGGAGACAGAGACAAGATGAATGAAGGAAGGCTATCAGACTTTTGAGCTTCCACAGGACAGGACAACAGACCTAACTGACTGCCAGGAGGTGTCGTCCTTCAAGAAAAGGGAAGAATGACCACTAAGGCAATTCAGAGCTCATCAGGGCTGCCGCTGCCACCACAGGTCCAAAGGGGACAGGACCCAGTGGCGAGGCTGTCTCCTCAGTTTGGGTGAGCCAAGCTGCCAAAGCCCAGGGCCTCAGGGGTTAGGGCCTCAGAAGGCCTAAACAACAGAGCATCAACCCGAAGAGGATTATTCTGGAACCTTAAAATTTAATGGCATTGCCCTGTTGGGGGAGTGTTGTGTATTTTCCTTGGTTCTTGTCCGCGCCACAACAAAGAATTGAAAGGCAGACACAGTATGAAGCAGAGTAAAAGTTTTATTTAAATTTACTTACTTAAAGAGAGAGAATATCCGGGGGACCTCAGGGAGGAGAGGCACCCTGAAAGGTTTAAGTTTTATTTAAAGAGAGAAAGTGCACACTTGGAGAAAGGGGAGTGTGAGCTACCTCGTAGAAGAGGTGCTGAAAGATTGGGAAAGGTTTCTTAAAGTTACACACTTAGAAAGTGTTGGTGGCCTCAGAGAGAGGTGCATGCCTAAGGGTTTAGGGTCTGAGGTTTTATACGTGGTTGAGGATTTTCAGGAAAGCGACAAAGAGCCAGATGCGGACCTGCCAAATGGTCCCAGAATGTTCATCTTTCATTAGACATTGTTTTTCCTTTTAACTTAACGCAAGAAATTTACTGCTTTGATTCCTTTCCAGGATATCAATTTCTGTCTGGAAGTATATCAATCAAGACTGTCTGCCCTGCCTCCAAGGGGGGCTAAGCCACTGTCCATTTGATTAAAATACAATCTTAGCTTTAAGATAGAATTCTTCCTGAATGAACTGGGCCTTTGAGTAGGCTAAAGTAAATCTTACAATGGTATGTTCTAATTGACACAGTGAAAACAGACTATGCTGAGATAGTTTTCTTTACCTGGGGAGTATTCAAACATTCCAGGCCAAGATGATCCTGGCCTTCTGAGCTTTCTATTTTTAACTGGTTAACTCTTTCAGTCCCTTCTAGTGGACTTTACTGGCCCTATTCTCTTTCCACCCCAGTCATATCTGTTTCCTGCCTAACAGCCCCACTAGGTTTCAGACTTGCTGGGGACTACTGATTCCTTTCTTCTTTCCCATTTATCCCTTTTGGAATGGGAAGGTCTATCTTCTTGAACTGGCTCCACCAGTCCTCCTCTCCTCCCAGATCTCTTAAAATGGGAGTGTCCCCAGGCAAGGTCCATTTCCTCTTCTCTTTTCTATCCATTCTCAGTCCCTTGGTGGTCTCTTCCAGTCTTGTGACTTTAAATAACACCTATGTGTTAACAACTCTCAGATTTCTAACTCTTAAATCCCAGGCCAATATATCCAACCACCTATTTAACATATACGCACTCAGATTCAACCTGATATGTCAAATGCACCATTCCAAAGGTGAATGATTCATCCCCTTCCCCCGAATCTGGGACACCATAATTCTACTGGATCCCTGCAAAAACCCATAGCCCTCTTTTACTCCCCTCTTTCTCTCATACATCTCATTCAACTCATCAGGAAATCCTGTTGTTACATCTCAAAGGCAGCTCCTCCTCCAGCACTACTGCTGGTTTACATGGGCTCTCACCCAGCTTACTGCAGCAGCCTCCTACCTGCTAGCTCCCTCCTCTACCCATCCCTCAACACAACAGCCAGAGGGATCCTGTTAAAAACCTAAACTATATCATGACAGTCCCCCATTAGAACCTCCAATGGCTCAGAATAAAAGCCAAAGTCCCTACAAAGACACCCCCCCTCCCCCCAGGGCACTACCTGATCTGGCCACCTTAACCAGCTCACCTCATCTCCTATTACTCACATGTACCTACTTTCAGGTCCTCCTGAAGACCTGCCACACTCCCATCTTGGGGCCTTGCCATAGCTGTTCCCTTTGCCTCAAATGCTCTTCCCTCAGACCCTGGCATGGCTGACACTCTCACTTTCTTTCAGTCTTAACTGCAAGGTTTCTCAGCAACAGCACTATTGACATGTGTGTCCACATAAGCCTTTGCTGTCTGGGGCTGGCCCGTGTACTGGATGATATGTAACAGCATCCCTGTGGGCTACCCACTAGGTGCCGTTAGCACTGCCCAACCGACCCCACCAAGTGATTACAACCAAAAATGTCTCTGGACATTGCCAAATATCCCCTGCAGGGCAAAACTGCCACACACTCAGACACACAGACACACACAAATACACACACCCGTTAAGATTCAGTGCTTTCAACACCCAACTTCTGTGGGACACAGCAAAGGCATCCAAGCCTATAGAAAGAAGGTAGAACAATCCCAAATGAATAACCTAAATTCATAATTAATGAAACTGGAAAAAGAAGAACAACTGAGGCCCAAAGTCAGTAGATGGAGGGACATAATAAAGATGAGAGAAGAAATAAATATAATTGAGAAAAATAAAAGAATAGAAAAAATTAATGAAACCAAGAGCTGGTTCTTTGAGAAAATAAACAGAATAGATAAACCCCTAGCCAGACTTATCTAGAAAAAAAGAGAATATACACACATAACCAGAATTAGAAATGAGAAAGGAAAAATCACGAATGACACCACAGAAATAAAAAGAATTATTAGAGAATACTATGACAAATTATGTGCTAACAAACTGGATAACCTACAAGAAATGGACAACTTTCTAGAAAAATACAACCTTCTCAGACTGATCCAGGAAGAAAAAGAAAATCTGAATAGACCAATTGTCAGCAATGAAATTGAATCAGTAATCAAAAAACTACTCAAGAATAAAACTCCTGGGGCAGAAGGATTCACCATTGAATTTTATCAGACATTTAGATAAGACATAATACCCATTTTCCTTAAAGTTTTCCAAAAAATAGAAGAGGAGGGAATACTTCCAAACTCATTCTATAAAGCCAGCATCACTCTAATACCAAAACCAGGCAAAGACACCACAAAAAAAGAAAACTACAGACCAATATCCCTGATGAACATAGATGCAAAAAAAAACTCAACAAAATATTATCAAATGGAATTCAAAAATACATCAAGAGAATCATACACCATGATCAAGTGGGATACATCCCAGAGATGCAAGGATGGTACAATATTCGAAAATCCATCATCATCCACTACATCAACAAAAACGACAAAAACCACATGATCATCTCCACAGATGCTGAAAAAGCATTCAACAAAATTCAACATCCATTCATGATAAAAACTCTCAACAAGA